CCTGCAACCCTGGTGTGTGCCCTTGACCAGAATCACACATGGGGACCCTTCTTTCCGTAGACTGATGCTCTATCCATTGAGCCAAACCAGCCAGGGCATTTAGTTCCTTTGAAATTGTACCAGGCCTGGCATCAACTTCACTTAAAAGCTCAATTAAGTTGTGTGCATATGAATTAAAACGAAGATGTGGAATAGCAATATGGAAAAGGCTTGCATCTGTTATATAAAGATGGCTGCCAGTCATGGATGTTAGTAGTAGTGTAACAATATCAACTCAAAGAAATGCTAATAGCTTTTGGCCTCCATCTGGGATGTTGAAATTGTTAAGATATTAAGAAATTATTTTAAGAGAATAGTGGTTATGGTTTTTAGAAATCCTAATCTTTTGGTTATTATATGGAAATGTTTACAAATGAAATGATATAATCTTGGATTTACCTCTAAAGAAAAACTGGCTATGTAGGGTTGGGGCCCACAGGGAATGGGGTGTAAATGAGACAAGATCGGCCAGGAGTTGATCACTGTTGAGCTATCACAGGTGATGAGCACATCACAGCCTTTATACTCTTCAACATACTTAGTGTGCTTTTGAACATTTCCACAATAAAACATTAGAAAGAATGCTCAGGTCATTCGGTAGCCTGAAGGGCTGGTGACAGTTGTCGCAGATGCCACCTTGAACTGCTCCTACCTGCTTTCTCAGAGAGGTGGGGCTGGGTGTGTGAACAGTAGTGCTCAATTCTAGAATCTGCTTGCTCCTCATCTGGGTTTTAGTTTACAGTGTTCCACAGTTAATTAAAAGAGTGAGAAGTTTTTTGACAAGGGGCCCAGCAAATGAATCACTGCATCATTTGGGTGAGAGTAAGGATCTTCCAGGACAGGGTTGCTCTCACCCATGGAGGACGCTTGCTGCACTTAGAATTAACTAGATTCCACACCACAGGTTCTGAATACATCTCATAGTGAGTTCTGTCCTCTCCAGGTGTTTTCTGGCTCTTAGGGTTCTTGCCTCTAGTCTGTAGGGCTCCCTAGAACCAAAAGAATTTGGAACTGTCACTATAGCCCTAATGTAAATGTGAAATCTCTCTTCCTGTCATCAGCAGACACTGGTGAGTCTAGGAATTATCTTGTAAAAACAAAACCATGAGCGAACATCAGCACCAATTTCGTGTTCTGTTCCAGACTGCAAAGCCCAAGCTCTGCCTCTCCCACCCCTCTTGTTTTAAGAAAATGGATGTTTTGTTGAGGATCTGAACATAGAGAGGCCCCCATTGAATTCCACTTTATGGTGTTGCTTTGATAATTTTTCCAGATTTTTTTTCCATTTAAACTCTCTGATTGTCTCTACCTTTCTTGACAAAAGGCAGTTGAACTGGGTTTCACTTCATTCACACAGGGAACTGGGAGCCGAATGCTATTTGATCTTCGGATCTCTGAGGTTAGACAAGGAATTAGAACTATCTGAACTCTACTCTAGCCCCTAATCTTATTATTCCAAATGTGTGCTTAATAAGAAGCAGAGTCAATACGCAGGTCAGAATAAGTTCAAATGGTCTAGAATTTTTATCTCAAAATGAAGAAAAAGTAATTGACAGGAACTATTTAATATTTAAAAACACTGTCCTTGGTTTGGTACATAATCACCTTCAGACTTTCCCCAGAGAATGCCATTTAGAGCGTTAAAGTTGAGATGATAAATGTGGTTAACCAAATGCATCATTTCTTAGTTCTTCCAGTTAAACCAGACAGGGGACCCTTAGGGAACAAACTTTCCAATGAGATTTTATAACAATAGAGCTTTTTCTGAACTCACATAAATTTTTACTTCAACCCCCCCAAAATGATGTCTGATTAGTAAATTCAGAGACACAAAAAAGCCAAAATAGTCTTAAGTTGCCTTTCTATATCTGAGAGTTTGTTATAAAATGTATCTGGCACAGGGACAAGAGTTTTCACTAAATCGATCTCTAGATGCTGGAGCTGGAGGGGATGGAGATGGGGCTGATAAAAGGTGGGTGCTGTCCTGTGAAACAGCCATGTCTCAGGTGCTCATTCCTCGGAACCGGCATGAGAGTGGCCATCTGGCCTTGACTCAGCCAAGCCCACCTTGTTTGATGAACAGTGGACATAGGGGATCACTGATTTTGCAGTAGCCAGATTTTCTGAGAATGGGTGATATAGGCGATATGGTGTGATTATCTCTCTGTCTTTATATTACTTCTCCATTCTCATATCAGGACCAAGTTGTGAAATGTGACTGGGAACACCCAAGGGCTGGATCACTTGCATCTTTGGGGACGTGGCATCTTATGGGACTCGATGGTTGCCAAGTCAGAGAGACTGCTGGACTTGGTGGGGCCTGGCTTACCTGGGCTTGGAGGTGGCTGATCCGCCAATCCTGTGTGATGGAAGAATTTGTGGGTATCCCAGGCCCCTTCATCTGAGGACATAGGTTGGGGAAGGACAGTCATAGTGAGTACCAGCCACAGGGAATGCCCTACTCTAGCTGCTTTACATAAATAACCCTAATGTATGTTATTCCTATTACAAACCTGCCAGTGCAATACTATTTTCCTCATTTGGTGAGCTAGAGAGAGGGCAGACCATTTGCTACAGGTCACACCTGTTTGTTAATGGCAGAGTCAGCTTGCTGTGTACACAAAAGCCTAGTCAGTGACAGCTTATCCCCTTCTTACTGTCCAGTTTTGAAGAATGTAGGCATAAAAAATTAAAGATGCTGGAGCTACAGATGGATCTCCAGGTGGCTCAGTTTGTTGGAGCAACACCCTATATACCAAAAGGGTGCGGGTTCTATTTCTGCTCAGGGCACATACTAGGTTACAGGTTCTATCCCCCGTCAGAGGCAACTATCTATGTTTCTCTCCCTCATATTGATGTATGTTTCTCTCTCAACATGTCCTCAGGTGAGGCTTAAAAAAGATCTGTGGGTGAGGTTATTCCCTCACCTGGATCCTGTGGCTCCCACCCCCGCAGAATCCCTGCTGTGCTCTGCTTAGCTCCCTCGCTGGGAAAGCAAGCTCAGGAACCATCAGGAACCACTGGGCTTCAGAGGGGCCTCTACCTCCTGGGCCCGAGAAATGGCAAAGCTGGGCTCCAGGGTAAAGATGCCATCTGATTACAGAACATTCCTCAGACCTGCTCGGGACATCGTTTGCCCTTTTCGTATCCGATTGATTGGGAGATGCACAGTGACAGGCGTCTTTCAGTTTGCAGACTGGGCTTTGGGTGGGTGTGGCTGTAGGACCTTGCAAAGCGGAGGCTGCAGGTTGGGGAGAGACTGTACATTCTCATTAGGACGAGCCTGAGGTGCACAGCCCGCCCCCCCAGGGGCTATGAAAGGATGTCAAGTCTGACCTTCACTGGGCGTTCTCTGCTTTTGCAGGTGGCACTGCGGCATGAGGATGGTGATGAGACGGCTGAGCCACCCCCCAGTGGGCGTCGGGACCGGAGGAGGGCCAGCCTGTGTTCCGGGGGCGGCGTGGGCGAGCAGCGGGGCCTGGACCGCAGGCGCAGCCGCAGGCACTCAGTGCAGAGCGTCAGGGGTCCCCTGTCGGCCCCCACCAGTCCCTGCTCCCAGGCGGTTCCAGGCTTCAAGCCCAGTCAAGTGCGGGATCTCCGTGAAAAGTAAGCATTCAGTTGGAAAAGGGCGCAAAGATATGAGGGAGGGAGGCCCCAACTCCCCAGGTGCCTACCACCCTCACCCCTTGCTCCCCTGCCTCTTCTCTACCATTAAAACACCGCCCACATTCCCTCGGGACTACCCAGGGCAAGGTGGCCCTGGTGACAAGCACAGATTTGTTCTTATAACCCCATGAACTCTAATTCACCCACTTGTGTTTTCATATCATTTAATATCAAAGTTAACATCTGCTTTTAAAAGCGGTGCTTTATCTAATGGAAAAGAATCCAAAACACGAAGCTTTGGCCTGGAAATAAATGGTAGGCCACCACATAAATGTGAGAGTCTTAAGATACTCATGACAATACATAGTTGAGGCTAAGTGAAATAGCACAAATCTCTGAGTTTTAATCTATTCACGCATAAATATGAAATATATAATTGTATATACATATAAAGTTTCAGTAAATACAAATGCCATCACTTAGTCAGTCATACAGCAAGCATTTTTATTAAGTGTCTATTATAGGCCAGGACTGTTTGAAGCCAAGAAGAGATGTGATTGGAAAGAGGTGATCTCTGTCCATAGGAACCTCACATCTGGGCTGGGAGAAAGAAAGAATGAGGAAAGTCGATAGGAAGAAATGGATAGACTGACAATTTCATGAGAAATTGTGCATATTAAAAATATAAAGTTTGACAAAAGCCAAAGGAATGCAGAAGTGGTTCCATAAAACACAGGTGCAGCAAAAGGATGGCCATGCTGCCCTGGGGCCTGGGGCCGGTTCTGTCTTCCCAATGCTGTCAGTTTACTAGGATGATGGGGCTCTATGGACCAGTCCATGCTGACCTGGTCCACTAGGCTGATACACTAATGCCAGTGCCCCTCTTCTTGCTACCCAGGGTGGAAGCCCTGCTCATTTCATTTGGGTGGAGCATTTTCCCCATCATGGAGATTCACCTGGAGCCAAAAGTAGGTCAGTAGGCTGCATGGTGGACAAGAACAAAACTCAGAATAAGTTGGGTGACCCTAAGAGAGTGATCAAGATATGTCTCTTCCTCTCCATGCCTAAGGGACCACCCACCCCCATGGCTACGGAGAAGTGCCCTGAGTGGTCTGATATTCACAGAATCACTTAACCGATGAGCCAGCCCATGCCTTTGGGTGTCTTCTCTTGCAGGTTGAAGAGGGCATTGGTTTTGGAGTGATGTGCAAAGCACTGTCTATGTTGACACCCTTCTCTACCATCGGCCTCTAGCTACAGGTTTTTCTGTTTCTGAGAGTCTGTGTACAATAAGCTCTATTTTAGTGAAAAGAATACCAGAACTTCTAAACAGATTGATGAAAAAGAACATCTACTATGGACATTGCACTTTGTGATTAAGATCTTCAAGAAACTCAGGCAATGTTCAAAAGGCCCTTGAAGCTCTCTCTAGCTCTGCTTTTAGTTAGTTAACTTTTGAAAAATCAACATGGAGAGAGAGTCGAGGAAAGTGTTCACAATGGGCTGAAATTAAACCTACCAAAGATGCTGAGGGTAAGAGGTAGGAGACCTTGTCAGTAGCACTTGGTGATCTTTTACTTGTGTAAACATGACTTGTGTCATGTTTGTTCCTGTTCTGTTTCTTGCTGTTACACTTTTCAGAGGTCCCTATGTTGTGAGTTCAGGCAACAGTGCCCTGTGATAGGTAACGGCAGTGGAGTGGACCATCCTGGGCAGTGTTCCCAGTTTTGAGGCGCTGGGCTGGGTGGGATCTGGGACGGGGAGGCCACAGACGCTGTTCTCAGTGCTGCTGTCTCAGTCTTTTCGACAGGGATGCTTTTTTATTTTACTGAAATTTACTTTCATGTACATTTTGTAGCATTTATTTGAGAAAAATACATTTTCTAGCTTGTAAAGGCACATAAGGTTTTGGAGTGATGTGCAAAGCACTCTCTATGTTG